TTCACCCAGAAAAGGGATGCTTTCCTGGATGATTGTCTTTTATTTTCGAGATGTTCGAGATGTCCTTAGCCACGATGAGTGTTTTATAAGTCTGGCAGTAAACCGGGTGCACCCCGGAGAAAATCCAGGCGTGTGATGGTGCAACACTCGATCCCTGTGCAGATGGAAAGAGATGGCGATTATGTCCACACTTACAGTGTCGCCTTCTCCTGGTGAGCCAGGGTATGGCACTTCGATACCCACGGGAAGGGAGTTTCGCAAACGCTGCGTGATCCACCGACCCTCGCTGCCTCCACATTACTGGATTACAGGCGTTCATAGCCACCACTGCCTAACTCATGACAATCTTTTATGATTGAATGCATTGTAACCCTGCAGAGTAATACCCCAGCTTACGTCAGGGATGCCTTCCTGAAGGATGCGACGACGAATATCGAAGTGGCGTCAATCGAAGCGATGTGTAGGCTCGGTGGTGGAGGCGAAGGCTGAGAGGTGGCGGATAACGAGAAAGAACGGACGGTGCTGTCAGCGACGTACGCGTGTGGAAGGTTGAGGCGAGGCAAATCGGGTAGCGGCGGTGTTAACGATAAAGTGGCAACGTATTTTGCGAAAATGACATAAAAGGGGGAGACCTAAAACGGGGTGTTGCTGCGCCGGAGATCATTTCAAGGGAGGAATTAGTGAATTGTTCAAGCCCTAATGTTGCAGCGATGCTTCCATTGCATGAAAGGAAACCACGGTAGCAGTGGATGCTATGTCACGGTTCACGCTTCTCTTGTCTCCGAGCATAAACCATCACGCGAACGCCGGTCATCCTCGCACAGCCGTTGGCTGGCCATCGAACAAAGACGGTCACTGCGTCACGCTCTTCCAGGTGCACTTCTGCGGCCGTCTGGAACGCTCTTCATTCTGATATTAGGAGCTATGCACTTTGAAATCTCCATTGAAAACGAATTTCTTCAGAACTGCTTTTTCTGTTTATACGTATTGGCACAAACACTAATTCTTACCATCAATTCGCATCCCATCTCCTCGGCCCTCTCCTTCAATCATTCCCGTGCATCAACTCTCTACCTTCACCCAAGTTTGGTAAAAATGCTCAACCAGACATCTATATACGGCGTATATTCAGAGTCCGTAGAGTGCGATGTATCGGAGTGCAAAGTTGATGGCATATGTGCCTGTGCACCAGGTTTCCCCCGCCCCTTCAGCCACTGAGAGCTATGCACTTTTAAATCTAGATTGAAAACGCATTTCTCTAGAACTGCTTTTTGTGCTTAGTTTTATTGTCCTTACCCCCGCACCTCCGATTAGCACGGTTGGTTACGCACGGTGCGAAAGAAGTGCAACATACGTACATCGACACTTTCAAGCTGAGTTTTTTGGACATGTTCATGCCCCCATGTTCATGGGATATTGAGTGCCATTAGCAAGCCAACTGAGGCAGCTTCACAAAAATACATGTGATTCAGCCACGACAACTCACAGCAGCACAGACCAGCTATCTGGATCAGTGGGCTCCTCTTGAAGTCAAGTGGATTCAATTACCTACAACCCCGTGTCTAAGGGGCACAACGTCAAGCATGCTGCTGCAAAGCACGCGTGCATGCATTTTTGAACACACGCAAACGTCTTTCTCGATTTCCTGCTAACACAAATTGTGTCTGATTACAGCCCCGCGGCAGTGATGGAAATCCCTCATTCCTATGGCTGGGCAAGTCTATCCATAGGACAACCACTATTGACTTCCACACGAAGTGGTAAATAATTTTAACAACCTTAGAGGAATGATGATGGTGGGCTCAGTCAAAAACCAGGATTTGAACTTGCTCCATTCTGATCGTGAGCAGCTCACTCTACGGCTGATTCACAGCTGATGTTAAGTGCCTGACAGATGTGTGCATAAACCAATTGTTATTCCCAAAAATTACAGACAATTCTGTGCACCTATGAAAACCTGATCTATTGATCGTTGACCCATCCATCCATTCACCATAAGGACCTCGATTGAGTAATTGAGTATGATTGTCGCAAATATAGAGCACTAATGACATGGGTGTGATAATTAGCACACCGCTACATTTGCAATCCAGAGGGTGACAGTTCGGCAGTTGAGATAATGGGCAAGTTGGTCGATCAGCAGATCGTGCGTGTGGTGGAGTAGAATGTGGATGTTCCCACCGCTTCCAATACGTCTGCCCAGCATGGCAGAGTAGGTCAAATATGGAGTTACCCATTTGTGATAAACTTGCACCATTGTTTCAACTGCCGTACCGGGGAATCGAACTGTCGTCGACTTCGGTATTGGGTGTCCATTATGCTCACAATTACACAATGACAGCACTCCAATATGGTATGAATTGGGACGTATCTGACGGCTAAGCATCTGATGTTTGAGTTTAAGCTGCTTATGTGTTGAAGATATAACAGAGTACGGTGGGGGTTAAACGACTGCAACCTCAACAACAATAACCTGTATTCATAATGCGAACATAACGTCACAGGAACACAAATACAAAGCGAGGGTTGCAGGGAACGGGAGGGACTCTGAGCAAGTAAATGAGAGAAAATAAGCCACGAAGGGGGTCCGAAAGCAAGGGGGTTGAAAAGGAATGTCTTGTGAAGAGACTGGAAATCAGACGGAGTAGAGGGGGGTGGAAGGGGGGGGCGATGCGGAGGTGGGGAGAAAATTCCCCAGGACGGGGGGGCTTAGAAGCAAATAGAATAGCCACGCACATTGACTTGCACTGAGCCAGCAGCGGACATTCCACATTCACACGGTGAGAACCAATCCATCCATAGGTTGGCTACTGTCGATTTTTCATTTTATCGACGCCGGATTGGAGGTGTGATGATGGGCTGAGTCAACGAGTCGACAATTAGCTGGGATTTTAACTCACATCCTTCGGACTGTAAGTCGTCAAGGGCTTGTGCAACATCACCACCTGAGCAGATGATGTGGTGTTTTCTGTACAATTGGTCGTTGTGTAAACAAGGGGTCATTTGCAGATACAACTGGAAAACATAGCAGCATATATACACATACCTCAGTTCTTTTTCAGTTTCATTTATTTGGTATAGCCCTGTGAGCCATTCGGCTCTTGAATCGGATGCAACCGCAACAAACAAAAGACAAAAACATGATCAAGAAAACATCTTAAAGTGACTATGTGCAAACAGAAAATCCAGAAAAAACAGCAAAATATTCCAGATAAAGCACCGTACACCAACTCTGTGTGCAAAAATCCCAGTGGGATGCAAGTCAAACAACAACCACAAGACAACTTAGATTAAGGCCATCAGTCTAACTCCGTATTACAACAAACAAACATGGCCGACCAGAATCAACGAGATGAAATAAAGAGGGAGACAACTAAACAAGCAAAAATAAACTTTTTATTTGACCAGGTAAGGCCCACTGAGCTGTATAGCTCATTTTCAGAAGCGACCCGGTCATCACAAGTGATAGCTCAACGAAGTGGCTTATCGTGTGGAAATTGATATCAGCCAAATACTCTAAACGCATGTTTATTCTAAATGCGGAGACAAAAAAATCGGAGGATCCGTAGAAAAATCCACGCGACCACGGAGAGAGGGACACACAAACTCCAAATATACAGCAGGCGTCAGGATCGGGATCGAACCCACACCCTCCTTTATACCAGGCGAGATAGTTACCATCTCCGAACAGAGAAGGTTGGAGCGCTTTTGGAAAGCTGGACTCTACATGAAAAGTAATATACCCCTGTGCATTAAGAAGGTGTTTAATCAGTGCGCTCTATCGGCTACAAAAACAGAATCGACACGTGGACATTCGCAAGCACATTAAGGGGTGGGAGTTGGAGAAGCCTTAAAAGTGCCAAACAAGAACGGAATTAAACTGAGAGATTGAACAAACAAGTAGACCCGTGATTGAGAGAATACCGGCAAATTAGAGACATCGTGTGGACTCTACGGAGAAGTAAAGTGGGAATTTGGGTAGGTCGCGTCAAAATACGAGTAGGGATTTATGGACGATTGGTCAATAAAAATTACTCGAGTGGCAAGCCAAAGGGAGGATGTGTCGGCAACGCATCCAAGAGGACATCCCACGAGAATCACGGCATCAGCTCGCGTGAAGAAGGTTGTCCGAGGAAATGTTTTATTTTAAAATACAACATTGCATCGGGCTCGTTATAGCTATGGCGGCGTGGGCTTTGGGAGGAGTCTTCATCCAGCAGTGGATTGAGCTTGACTGGTGACGAGTACACGGGAGCACGCCACGCACGAGGTACTTGTGCACGTCTGCACTAAGGGGCCGTCCATAAATGACGTCACGCACCAGGGGAGGGGGGGGGTCAGACATTTGTGACGATGTGTGACGTCACATCAAAATGCGCAACTTTAAATAAATATAGGCAACACGTTCTACTTAATTAAATCGACTTTTTAATAAATGTTTTCTCCTACAAAATCAGTGCAGCGCCACATTAAATACGCACTACAATGACAATAGTTTAGAGCGATTTGAAGAATGTTTTATATATTTGGGGGGAGGGGGGGGCAGAGCTTTGTGACGTCATATTTGAGGGGGGGGTCTGTATTTTTGTGACGCCGTGTGACGATGGAGGGGGGGGGGTCAAAAATCATCCAAAATCGCGTGACGTCATTTATGGACGGCCCCTAAGGCTACACACGAAGGAACCTTTGTCTTTGTACTCGGCGTGTGTGTTAGCCGTGGGTTGGTGTGGGGGGGGTCTGGGCTGGGAGGGCGACTCCTGCGGTACCAACTAAGGGCTGAACGATCTCATCGATTTCAAATCGATTAATCGTTCAGCCCACGTGCCAACGCTTTCCGCGCATAGCCGCAGCGTGCAAAGCTGATAGCGCGCGCCACCCTTAAGAGGCGCTCGCGATACGCGCTACGCGTGCGTGTTGGTGCGCGCAGAGAGAGAGAATAAGCCTCCTCCTCCCTCATTCATCCACATGCCACCTCCCCCTCCACATCTCGCTCCCCTCCCCATCACCCCCACCGCCGCCGCCACCACCACCACCTTTCTCACAAGCGACGAGAGAGCGAACCGAGCGAAAGGCGGGTCTTGTGGTTGCTCGCGCCGGGGCTGAAAGAAGGGCTTGACCGGGCTAACGACGCAGGTGAGTGTGACGTTTGGTATGCGGTGTATATACACACACATCGTTGTCATCATCATCATCATCACCACCACCACCATCATCATCACCGTCGTCGTTGTTGCCGTGATGAACCCACCTTATCGGCGCTGCGATCGCGGCAACGTCTGGATGGGATGATTTCACAGCGCGGCACGCACAATTCAACGTGGTTTTGGGATTCGTGATGGTTGCGTGGCTGGTGATTTGCCATCCGTGCAGTGTGTCGCGTCGTCGTTGAGATGTCCACTCCGCGCATTCTTACGTCGACCGCCGGGCCGAGTTCGACTCCGGGCTCCGCGGCCAACAATCGCCGACGATTATCTGAACCGGCCAATCTCCCCATAGGTCGACTCGGCCTCAAATGAGCGCCTGCTGCGGTGTGTAAAACATCGCCGCCGGGGAGACAAAGGCGGCCGGGCGTGGTTGCCCGATCAACCCACCAGTGCCGGCCTTCATAGGTGCTCGCTAACATCACTCCCAACAGTCTGTTACAGGCTAGAGCCGGGTGGGGTGGTGCGGGAGATCTTTGTCTTTGGTGATGGTGGTGGTGGTTGTTTGATGATGATTGTCCGTGAGTGAGAGTGTGAGTGTTTAGCTGGAGATGGTGGAGGCGAGGTTTTTTATTTGGTGACCCCCACCACCTCTTCAAAGGAAAGGGAGATAGCTCAATGGAAATCCGGCGTCTTTATCATCATCATCATCCTCCTCCTCCTGCGGGCTCGGGCTGGCTGGGCAATGTGGGAGCTGTTTTGTTCGGAAGGGGGAGAAGCTCCACAGAGAGAGAGTGAGAATGAAAGGAGGAGGGAGGGAGGGAGGGCTGTAGCCACATGGCTGTCTGCTGTACATGTGCCCAGCACAAAGCCCATCTCCGGAGCTTCTTGCGGTGATGGAGGCGAGGGGGGAGCAGGAGAGATTGGAGTACTGGGGGATTTAGCGGCGGTGCTGATCATACTTCACCACGATAGCCAGTGCGGACCGGTGTTTTTTTATTTTACAAATGTAGTGCGGGGTGGGGGGGCAGCATAGACGTCCTATAGGAAGTGCAGTACAGCAAATGGATTTTGCGTGCACAGTCTGGTGTGGAGCAACAGAGCCACAGCAACGGCAAGAGACGTCTCTGTCACATCAAAACGTGCCAGCATATGCCTTTCGTGAACCGAGCGGGTAAGATGGAGATCATTCGGGAGTGATTGTTGTTATTATTTGTCTTGGAGCGCGCGAAACAAACACGGTATAAGAATCTGGAGGTTTTGAAAGAGAGAGAAAGGGGAGACAGAGAGAAACATAACTACAGGGTTGTTATTGTTGTTAAGAGATGCAGGGGAGATGCTCTGCCCGGCCATCGTGCTCCTGCTGCTGCGCGCTTTGTACGCGGATTACTGCCTCCCAGAGAACCCGTGTACGTACGGTGGTGCATACCGAGCGAAAAAAAAATATATACATAGACAAGATGAAATGGCGAGATATTACCCCACACCAGCACCACCTATACGATGCGATTACAACCATTTAAATGCTTTGTCGCGTCTTTTTTTAAACGCGCGTGTGTGTGTGTGCGTTTACTCACCTTGCTCCGACGTATCGTGTCCCGTAACCGTTATATTGAAATTGAGAGTGGGATGCGACGCGATTGATTGCGAGTTGGGGGTCTCTCTTGCTATCACCTACACGTGTTTTGTAATGTTATAGAATGTTTTCGGTGCCACTTTGTGTTTGTGCCTTGCTCGCCTGCACACAGTATGCTGCATATACAGTTGTAACCAATTGTGTGTACACACAACTGAATCTGCTGTGTGTGCCGCATGCTTCTCTAATGCCAATGCAATGCAGTTTATACATTACAGCACAACACGCACAGGATATAATAACAATAGAATATGTGTACATTATAGTCCACGACTGCATCATGTATATCGAGTAGTGCCTATTGCAGAATATGCTTTGACCCTATTCTGCCCATCTGCTATGCACTTGGACTGTGTGTGTGTGTCAGCTGTGTGTGTCAGCTGTGCATGCAATGTTGGCCGTGTTAGATACGAAGGGCTGGACACCGGGGGTGTTAAGATAAGCTTTTCTGAAGGCAACATTGGTGGCGGTAGTTCGAAATGAGGCTCCTATTGTAGGAGCACAAGTCACGGGAAGGAGGAGAGAAGGGTTGAGGTTGGTATAGGACTTGTGTGTGTGTGTGTACCCTGGGCTGTAAGACTGAGGTCAAGTGGAGGTTGGTACTGCTTTCGGCGGACCAAGTTTCTGATAACCACGATGGAAGTGTGAGAGATGTGTGTCTTGAGTGTAGAGAGGAGGAGGAGGATGTGTTGGGCGGGCGTGCTTGCCTCTAAATTACCGGGTGGATATCCGTTCGCTGGACCCAACCTGCAGAGCTCGAAAATCAAAATAAGTTTGCTGCCTCTTCTTGGTTCTTTCGGTAAAGTCACGTAGAAGGGAAGTAATAAAATAATAAAAATAAAACATAATAAAATTAAATAATAAAAATAAAACATAATAAAATTAATTTTATTATGTTTTATTTTTATTATTTTATTACTTCCCTTCTACGTGACTTTACCGAAAGAACCAAGAAGATGAATCCCTGCAGTCACGAAAGCTTTAAATCAAAATTTAAGTTTGCTGCCCTTTTGAGTACGGGTGGCTTGAGACGGATGCCAGGAGATTTTTTTTTTTGCGACAAGGCAGGATAAGGAGCCGTCCATAAATGACGTAACGCGATTTTGGACGATTTTTTACGCCCCTCCCCCCTCGTCACACGGCGTCACACAAAGTCAGGCGCCCCCCCCCCTCAAATATGACGTCACAAAGCTCTGCCCCCCCCCCCAAAAAAAAACATGCTTCGAATCGCTTTAAACTATTGTCATTGTAGTGCGTATTTAATGTGGCGCTGCACCCTGATGTTGTAGGAGAAAACATTCATCAAAAAGTCTATTTAATGAAGTAGAACGTGTTGTCTATATTGATTTAAAGTTGCGCATTTTTATGTGACGTCACATTTCTCAACCCCCCCCCCCCCTTCGTCACACATCGTCACAATTATCTGCCCCCCCCCCCCCCTAGGTGCGTGACGTCATTTATGGACGGCCCCTAAGTAAAAAATGCAGAAGGTGTGGTTGAGAACATGGCACGCGCGTTGTGTAAGATATATGATGAGGCAAACACAAAAACCGTCTGAACTTTGGTTGGTTGTTGGTTGGTTGACATGTTTTTGCCGGATGGGGTGAAGGCAAAGATCTCCGAGACTGACCACCGTGACAGATCTTGGAGGTCGCGGGTCAACCGGGGTCACGGGTCAACCGGGGTCGCGGGTCAACCAGGGTCACGGATGTTCCGGGGATTTGGGGCACAAAGCGCTGGCGATGTGTGGAGGTGACCCTCAGCCACATTTGGCCGAGACGGCATGTTGATCTTGATGCGTACGGCACACGGCACCTGGGCACCTTTGTATCCCTTGTGCTGATTTTCACGCCCACACTGCCCCTCTATCAGATGATAAAACACATTATACGGATGAATTTATCCAAGGGTTGGTGCAGATCTAGATTTGGACATTATCTGCCAATGGTAATATTCATCTTGGCCCTGATCCAGAGTAGAATGCTGTCCATGCAGCGAGTTAGCAATGAAAATAACAGTATAAGGTTCGGGGTGTATGTTTGTGTGTGTGTGTGTGCCTGCCTGCCTGCGTGCGTGCGTGTATGTATGCAGTGATTTGCATACATAAATGATGAATTCATATCAGCGAGTGCATGTGAAATGAAACCTCCCTTGGAAGCCTGCAAATGAGCTGTGAGTGTCGCTTGAAACGCATAACAAGACTGATGTGATTCACACGCGTGTTCCTGGTCACATTGTCCACTCGGTGGGAAAACGTTGCAAGTGGATATGCAGTTGTGCAGTGTACGCTGCCTGGGATACGATAGAAAGCATTGTGTGTGAAAGCCCGTGTTGTGTACGAATGCGCCTGGCAAACACAGCCGCATCTGCGTTGCTTATGCTCTGGTGGGAATGTGTGACTGCTGCATTCAGAGGCTGGGCATGATTTATGAATCTGTGTATTTGTGTATTGATACAGATGCGGTAGGAGTAAGGGAGAGAGGTAGTGTAGCGGTTAGCGCCCTGCGCTACAAACCCGGCAACCCGAGTTCGATTCCCGCTTCGATTCTCGTTCACGGCCAACGCCAGTGACGATTATTTGAACCGGTCACGGGCCTCCCCCTAGGTCGACTCAGCCTCAAATGAGTACCTGGTGCGGTGTGAAAACATAGCAGCTAGGGAAACAGAGGCGGCCGGCCGTGGTACTGGCCAGCCACCCCCTCGTGTGCCATGCCGGCCTTCATAGGCGCTCGCTTGCAGCACTTGGCCCAACAGTCTGTTCAGGCTATCGGGGGGGAGGGGATCCTTTGTCTTTGTCTTTGTATTTTGAGACAGGTGCAGGAGTACATTGATTCTATTCCAATCGGTGAATCCCTGCTCAAATTAGTATTGGGGCTGCTCAAACTTCGTGGTTGGAACCCCCCATAAAAAAGTGAAAATGTAATTTAATATTTATTTTGTATTGGACTACTTTTGTTTTGATCCTGTGTTATTTTTACTGGCTGTACTTTTTCGATATTCCTTGAAAGAATATAGTCTGAATGGATTCTCACCTAGTATAAAGTATATGGTATAAGCTGAGCTCCGTTCTCTCTCAACATATACGTACACACAATATTGTTGAGTCCATCGGGCTGTTAGGATTTTCCAGACCACCTATACCAGGGGTCGGCAACCAAAATAACAAGAAGAGCCATTTCTTTCCAATTCGGTACAAAATTCAGTATTTCAAGAGCCGCAATGCATCTATGTACATACGTACATATCGTCAAGAAGCAGCCCGTAAAGAGCCGCATGCGGCTCCGGAGCCGTAGGTTGCCGACCCCTGACCTATACCCAGCAGCATTTGTTTTGAAGCAAGCGAACTCTGGACTGGT